TTACGATCTTACGGAAATCGTAAATTGAAGTAAATGTTTTTATGATTTTATTTTATAAAGTGTTACAAAAACCTCCATTGGTGACAAATAAGTAGTCTAGAGCCCTAATGGACCAATTTGCGAAATACCGTCGAACCTCTTTGTCACCGGCGGCCATTGTTGACTTGCCAACCTATGAAATCCCAAAATTAAAGTAAACGCATTTGTGATTTTGTGTACGATTGTGTTGGAAAAATACTTTCTTCGACTATAATTGCTGTTCATAAATAGATAAATCAAGAACCAGTGTTGTAACGTGCGGTGTTTGAAGAGTCCGATGGCCAAGTTGTATTTCCTGCTCTGCGTTTTTCGTAAAACGCATTGAATGTGGTTGTGATTTTTTATTGTAAAGAATGAATTAGGAAATAAAACGTTTTTTAAATATTTCATCGATTGCGTTTACTACCTCGTAAGTAAAGACTGATACTAGGGCAATGGTTACAGTGCGAATGCGTGAATACCATTGAATCTCGTTTGTCTCCGGCGGCCAATTTAAACATGCTGCATACATGCACACATACATTGGGGAAGGTAGAGGACAATAACCTTGCTAATTTATGAAAATCTAAAATTGCAGTAAATGGTTTTTGTGATTTTATTAAAGAATCATATATATCGCGATATATCGCGAAACAGTGTTAGTAAAATACTTTCTTCGACCTTCATTATTGTTCAAGTATGGGTAAAATAAGAGCTAACTGGAGCCAACGCCCTAACAAACCGACATGGTAGGTACTCACGTGCGACCTACGCCGATCCTCATAATAGTGTCTGCGGACATATTAATCGTGCTTATCTATGAAAATTGAATTATAATTTTTGGGATTTGGTAAAGAGATTGGCGAGGTAAGGTAAATTCCTTTCTTCGTCCTCCATTACTGTTCGATATCGATGAACTAAGTAGCCACGCCCAAACGTTTCGAAATAGTACGCATGCGCAAATTAAATTAGTGTTTGAAGTGACCACAGACCACATGGAAGTGGCGAACGCTAATTTCGGTGCGATTTATAGTAAATGACTCGAGAAATAAAATGTACACCAAATATGTTTCCAATAGAGTTTACTAATTCATATTTGAAGTAAACGTTTTTTGTGATTTTGTTAAATAATATCGCGGAGTAGTGTTAGTAAAATACTTTCTTCGACCGTCATTTGTGTGCTAATATGGGTAAAATAAGAACCAACGCCGTTACGAATCGACATGGTAGGTACTCATGCATGACCTTCGCCGATCCTTTTAATAGCGTCCGCGGCCATTTTAATCTTGTTTATCTATGAAAATGTAGGTACATTCTTTGGGATTTGGTAAAGAAATTAGCGAGATAAAGTGTTAGTAAATCCCTTTCTTCGTCCTCCATTACTGTTATACCATACTTCCATCCATTATTGATGAACTAAGAAGCCATGCCCAAGCAGTTCAAAATACTACGCATGCGCAAATTAAATCAATTAAAAAAAAACCGTTATATTCTTAATTTTTCTATCAGCAGCGACGAATTTCCTTCCCTTAGGAAGGAAGCTCTCATTACTCATTTCCCCAAAAGATCCAACCCTTTATACCTTTCTGATTTCCGACCTATTTCTAAACTTCCCTTTCTATCAAAGCTGTTAGAGCGATTAGTTCATAACCTAATTATTCCTTTTCTGATACGTAACAACCTTCTCAACTTCTTTCAATCCGGCTTCCGATCAGGACACAGCACTGTGACTGCTCTGGTTAGGATCACTGATGACTGTAGGTATAGTATGTCGCTACAGCAACTGACTGTAATGTCATTGCTTGATTTCAGCAATGTTTTCAACAACGCTACGTTGATTTTGATTGCACTTTTACGCACTCTTAACATATCTCCAACGGAAATTCTAAGTTTCATAGTTACTTGCAAGGGCGTCGGCAATGTGTTAGCATTGATGAGAGGTTCTCTTCTTGGTGTGACATCAATGCTGGCGTTCCACAGGGCGGCGTTTTATCTCCTCTTCTTTACTCGATCATTCTTTTCTTCTTTTCTCGATTCATTAATTCATTTTCCCGCAGTCTTACCTCATCCTACCACCTGTATGTAGATGATTTACATATTTACACTCACCGGCAACTTGAAAATTTGCATGAAACCATTGAGGAAATCAATAATGGTCTGCCGCCATTTTAATTTTGCTAATCCATGAAAATTTAAAATTGAAGTAAGTGTATATATATTCTTGGGATTTGGCAAAGAAATTCGCGAAATAAACTGTAAGGTAATATTCTTTTCTTCGTCCTCCATTACTGTTCGATATCGATGAAGGAAGAAGCCGCGTTCAAACGGTTCGAAATACTACGCATGCGCAAATTAAATGATAACTCAGGAGCATGTTCGGACAACTGCATTTCTATTGAGCGAACTGACAATATCAAATATCTTGGGGTCATAATAGACAAAAATCTGACATTTGAGGAACATATCAATGCTCTTACTTCCAAAGTGAGGAGGTTAGCTTATGTCTTCAGACAGTTGAGAAAAGTTGTTGAGACAAATCTCCTGAAAAACATTTAGTTCAAGTTTCAAGTAGTCTATCCTATCTTACTGCATAACAGCTTGGGGTGGGGCGTCAATGTCACATTTACTTCCATTGGAAAGAACGCAACGACTAATATTAAGAATTTGTCTTCACAAACCACGTTTGTTTGCTACGGTTTAATTATACAAATTAGGTGAGGTGTTAACTGATCGTCAGCTGTACATTCTTTCGAGAGTATTAAGACGACATTCCGAAATTGTATTTTTACACCGGAATACTCAAATGCACAAATATGACGTCTTTACGTGGTTTGCCCAACTGTCAAGACTAGAACTTCATTTATGCGAACATTTTTTGGTACCAGGGGAATTGATTGTATAATAAGTTAAATAAAAGTATTTCCCTCCATGACAAGACTGCGAGAGAGAATAAGGTGGCAAGAACTAAATGGTTATTATCACTTAATTATGTTGAGATTGAAGATTTGCTTTGCGGGCTGATATGATTAGACACAATAAAAAGGATACACTGTATTTTATGTACTTAGATATGTTTCACTGTGGAAGATAATAAATACATTATTATTATTCTTATATTATTATTATAAATAAATGTTTGAAGTGAAAGCGAATTTTGGTTTTGGAAACCTGTGTTTGCCCTGGCCATCTAAAGGCTACTGTTATAGTGCGAGTGCATGAAAACCGTTGAACCTCTTTGTGTCCGGTGGCCATTGTTAAATCTTTCCAACCTATGAAAATTTAACATTACATTAAACACATCTGTGATGTTGCTAAAGATATTCATTACATAAAGTGTTAGCAAAATCTTTCTTCTACTTTCAACACACATCAAGAAGCAGCGTTCTAACGCACGGTGTGTGAAGAGTCCGGCCGGCGGCCATTTTGTATTTCCAAACTTGCGTTGTTTGTAAATGTAGGGAATGTGGTTGTGATTATTTATTCTAAATGAATTCGGATATAAAACGTTTATTAAATATTTAATTGATTGTGTTTACTACTTCGTAAGTAAAGACTGATGCTCTTGGTCATAGAGCAAGTGCGTGAAATACCGTCGAACCTCTTATTTTACGGCAGCCATTTTAATTTTAAAAAGTAGTAGTGACAACAATCTTACTAATTTATGAAAATCTAAAATGGAAACGGTTTTCTGTGATTATGTTAAGACATTCTCGTGACAGCTATGTACGCGTGGCAACACGGAATTCTTGAATGTTTGGAGCTGCATTGATTTGAGGCAAGACGAACGCGTCTCCCCGAACCTTTTACGGGCATATTTTAACCGTGCGTTGGTTGGCCCGTCGTAATACCATGCGCAACATAAGTCGGTCAATAGACGTCGGCGGCCATTTTGTTCTTGCAAACCTTTATCGGTAAAATGAAATTAATGTGATTGTAGTTTAGACTATCTCGGCAACGTTTTTCTCCAGAGCTCACGCATACAAACTAAATGTACACAGCTTATACAAAACTTTGCATCGTCGGTGTGTGATGATAACCTTTCAAGCTAAAGTTGTAAGTGTTACTTCACTCGCAAAACAAAACATTGGTTTGCTCGTAGTTGACAAAGATAAGAAAATAAGTTATTTTTCAATTTTATTTCAGGATATTTTCGTCTGTTTGTTGTACAGTATTTCAAACATCTTAACATTGTTCGCCACCTAACAGGGTATGGTCCCACTTCTAGTCCTGTTTATTAAGAAGAGAGATGAAATGTAAAGCCACAATTCTTATGAAATATAAATGCTAACAATAGTAATTCATGTTTTGAAAACTTCAACAACAAAACTTTGAAATGTTTGCGATGACATGTTGAATGAATCTAGTTATGTAAACTCTCGAGTGGACACCAAATGATATGATATGATGATATTAACTCTTTGGTTTCTTAAGTTTAATAGGTGACTTTATGATGACGAAATTCTGTCTAGGCATTATTATATTTGCACAATAAATATAATTATTCTGAAAGATTTATCAAGACAATATTTAAACGAAAACAAAGTGCACGGTAAATTGTTTTTATCAAAATTTTTTTATGCCTATCAATATCGATTTCGTTTCATACACTACATCATGAATGTAACCAATATAAATACCAATATAACTTTCCGATCCTAATTTCATATCTTTTTTACACACCATCATCATTACGGAAGAAAAATAAAAACGTATTAACCTATTATATCAAATATTTTAGGGAAATGGGATCGCAAAACGCCGAGGATTAAAGTACCAATTCAAGCACTTATTTGTACCACTTTAAATTGATCAATGTAGGCTTAGGGAAATACAGAAAAAAATATCGAGAGCATCATGTAACAGTAGCATTTCTTAGAAAAAGAAAATATGGCATGTGTTCTTTTTTACTGTCGTTACTTTACGTTGGCGATTTCGAGAATTATATTTCAAATACAAGGTCTCTATAGCCTTAATATTTTCAGGTGTCAACGCCGAATCTTTTGGGCGAGCACGATGTTGGCCCAGAGTCGGTCGAGGATGACATGACAAATTTTTGGCCGACGTCGGCGGGTCGATTTCAATTTGTCATCGATGAGTTGCCACAAGAACTGCAGTACATACACCAACTATTACAGGTTAGCGTAATTGGTATTTAAAAATGTATCTAATTACCACAGTATAATAAGACAAGTTGAACTTTTCGGCGTGGTAACGCCTTTTTTTTTTTTTTTTTTTTTTTTGTTTGGACGGGGGGGAAATCTTTATGGATACCCCTGAGCCCAGGGAGACTCAGGGGTTATGTGGGGACTCTCCCTCCACACTGGAAGGCCTACCCCACTAAAACCCCCCCGGGTTTCCCTCTCGCCGGTTGAGTCGGCGCCGTGGGATCAGTGTTCACCACGACGCCGCCCGGCCGCCCTAGCTTGCGCCAGGGCTCCCGCGCCAACGGAGGGACGAGACGGTTGTCCTCCGACCCGCCCCCCAGACGAGTGAGGCCGTGCAATGTAGGCTCCGGAGTCCCTGTCCAGAGCCCGCTGGTCTCACTAGGGGATCAGGCGAGCAGCGAACTGCCTTCGCCTTGCGTCCGCCGCGTCCTCGCGCACCCGCTCCGCGGCCTCCTTTTGCGACATAACCTCTGTGCAAAAGGAGGCCATCGCCTCCCAGGACTCCTCGCTATCGAGCATGGCGGCAACCACGCTCGGCAACGAGAGGTCCTGCCCTATAGTCCCCGTCAGAGTGCGGCGCTGCTCATCCCACCGGCTACACACCTCTAGGGTGTGCTGCGCGGTGTCATCCGCAGCGCCGCACTCGTGGCACGACGGGGACGGTTCCCTCCTCGCCACCTTGTGCAGGTAGTGACCGAAGCAACCGTGCCCGGTCAGCACCTGCACAAGGTGGTACGACAGTGGCCCGTGGGACCGGTTTGCCCACTCTACGAGGACAGGGCGAATCGCCTCTATGGTACGAGCACCATAGGGGGGATCCGCCAAGCCCTCTTTCCACCGGTCCCGCATGCGCTGCGCCGCGAGGCGGCGCTCCCGCTCCACCTCTTGGGGAGCGGGTCGCTCGCCTCGGTCCCTCATTCCCCGCCGGTAGGTGCGGACCTCCGCCAGGACCTCGGCTTCGAGGTCCCACGGCGGAGTACCGGCGAGGACGCATGCGGCAGCGCAGGCCACCGTCATGTACGCCCTGCACATTCGCAGGGCGACCACCCTCTGGGGCCTCCTCAGCAGCGACTTCGTCGCCGCTGATAAGGCCCCACTCCAAATGGGAGCCCCGTATAAGGCCATACTCCGGGTCACCCCGGCGTATAGCCTTCTGCATGGGGCTCCCGGCCTCCCGAGGTTGGGCAGGAGCCTGCCCAACGCCGATGCGGCGCCCACTGGCGTGGTAACGCCTGCACTTCACTCAGAGTTGTAGGGTTGTCACATTATTATTCTACCTACCTAAAGGTATTTATTTTGAAAAAAAAAAACCTATCTCAATTGTAGGAGAATGAATATGAAATAGAAATGAGTTGCTGAACAGTTTTGAATTTCAAGCACTCTTGTTCAAACGACCACAAACATAACAATACTAATTACATAATATATCTACTATTTAATGTAATGTTTTAGACCCGCACTATGCAACGTGAGTGCACAGCGAGATTATGCGAATGTTTGGGTTCGTATACGGCTCTCGGCGAGCTTGCACTCATACAAGTTGTGCTATTACGTTTGTATGGAGTTATACTATCCGTCTTGTTAGACTGTGTATTTAATGTACATATTTCTTGTAATTACTCTGTGTAATGCAAATCACAAAAAAGAGAAGCGTTTGAATTTTTAGAATATATAGAATTACAACGTTTCTGGTGCTAGACTATAAGCATTAAGAGCGTTTACGGTTTGCGACCAACAAGACTTCGATAGAATATAGATAGAACATACAATATGAATGCGATACGTGCAATTGCCATGTGAGCGACATGCATATGCAGTGCAGGCGATGCAATTCAAGATTTGTGTGAATTCGATGGAAGTGATGTCGACACGCGGCTACAACAGGTTCGACTATGCGAGGACGCTTGTTTTCTAAATTTCTCCATTGGGTCATTCCGATTGACTGACCCATGAATAAACTTTTTTGGCTTTTAACGACAGAGTACATATGTTTTCTAAATTCCCGTGGTTGTTGATGTGTATTGGGGCGCACTCGAAGTTTTTTTCGTATAGTATAAGTTATATTGAGAAAGTATATTACTGCTGATATTAAATACACATGGAACTTGTCTACTATGCCTCAGAGTGACGGGCGCGGTGGCAGTGCCCCTCAGGTCTTTGTGATCTAAAGATCTGAGTGACACAGCAGCTGCTATGGACAGGCGTATCAGTTACCACCAGGCGCACGACTGTTCGTTGTTCGTCCCATAATTTGGTATTATAAAAAAAAAAGATTTTGCTTCATAGGGCAATAAAGATTTATTTTCTATACCATAACTTAAGATTAACAATTAGATTTATGACGATAAACTAATATCTATTGAAGAAGTAAAGTGACTCAAGCTAAAAGAGTTTAGGAAATTAGGCGATTGTTTAAAAATGTTATTTTTCCTATTTTTTCTCGTGTTATATTTTTAGATTTGCATATAAACGCAATGTTCGTAAATATAGTGTTTTCTTAACAGGAACTAAAGAATACATCCCGACCCGACGTTTTGTACCACTTGCTGCAATGTCTCCATGTTTTGGTGTTAGAAGTCGACGCTCTTGGCGAACACCGCGGCTTTCTGCTTTGGTGTCAGGAGAATTTACTTATAGATAAGTAAGTAAATTTTGCTAATATTGTGTAAACTAAACTGTTAATGTAAAACCATTTGTGTAAACAAACTTACTTCATGTGAATTTTGACCATAACTACACGAGCTTTAACATCGACTCGACATTTACATTATTCACTAGGTAGTTTCATTGATCTACGCACTAGGTACAAATAAACAAACAATTTTAGAGGTATCTAAAAAAAACAGCATTAAGATGATTGCCGTGAGTAATGAGGTGCGCTTCCCTCCCTTAATCCCGTTCCACGAAACGACATTCATCGACAATGTATAGCTATTTTGAAAATAATACCAATTAGATATGCTCACTGCCAGCGTGTCGTTAGTATATAGTAGATTTTCAAACATTCTTAAAATGTCCTAATAGGTCATTTGGGATTTCCGGGTCGTCTTATGTGTTGCTCGTCCTCGACGATGGCGGTTGGTATCTGTCGGCTGGTGTTGGTGACGGCCACCTGCATTTTGTTTTTTTTTTTTGAAATTAATAATCTCCGTACAGGGTACTAAAAAAACCGGCCTCAAAAGCCATTCATCCCCTAGATTGCCACCTTTAGCGGTGGAATAATTTCTTGTAATTTAAATGGGACCACTACTGAGGTAGGTACCGTCTTTCCAACAAACAAGAATCATCAAAATTGGTTCACAAATGCTATCGTAGTTATCGCGTAAAATATATACAATATATACCTCCTCCATTTTTTTAAGTCAGTTAAATAATAAGTGCAAATTTTACCTCCTTCACACACACACACACACACACATATATATGTATATAGTTTTGTTCAGGTTTTTGAGCTGGTGTTGACCTGTATACTTACAATTTTGATATCTCTATCTTTCTATGTATTATTCTATTGTCAAAATTTACTATGCCAAAATTGTTTTGACAAAAAAAGACGTCATGGTCCCTAAGACAATTTCCTTGTATCTATTATGGCTTCGAATTGCCCCATACCGTCCCATTAAAAAAACACAATAATTAAGAATTGTTAGTTTTTCTCATAGACCTCAAAAGTTGTAGATCAAAAAAGAAAATAGCTATCGCAGTTTTTCCTGAAAAGCGCGTTTTGTCCTTTACGCCAATTTAGTCTAAATGTGTCATAAGACTTGCTATGAGTTTTAGGAGAATTGTTGGTATACTATATTTTTTCAATGTAATACTTAGAGGATAGAAAGATGTAATATGATTGTTGTCATCTACAGTCTATGGAACGTATGTGACGCGAAGGACTCTCATATATGCTCAGTGGCGGTACCGATTTTGCTGCACTGCGTGACCTTGTCCAGCGGTGCTGACGTTTTCTGTGCGCTCATTCGCGATCAGTTCCACCATCGCGATCATCGCGTACGGTTCACCGCAGTCGAAAGAGTCACTGTAATTATTAGGTAAATAATCTAATTCCGTACAAATTTTACCGAAAATGAGTTTTGAAAGATATGTAACAGGTCCTACACGAATCTAGGAATTATAGTATCTCTATCTTTTTAGATTTATGGACAATTCTCCGATAAAAACCAACTTGCCTCTACAAACATCTTTGGCGACTGCGTTTTGCTATCTGATATCCAGCATGGATGATATCAATGTATATGTGGCTCAAAGAGCTACACTTTACATTGGTACTGTCCACGATACCGCCGTTGAGGTACGATGAACTAAATCATGTAAAAATTAAAAACAAATTATTATATATCAGTCTTTGTTATGTTGATACAATCTTTTAACTTCCTTTTTGTTTGAATAGTAATAAATGTTCCGAAAAATAAAATAAAAATGTGCTTATTCAAAATACGAATGTTTCTTCCTACCTTTACTAAGCTAGCGAAAACTTTTGTCATTGACTTACAAATAAATGGACGACGGGTCTAATACAAAAACCACGAAAAAAATGTCCCAAGTCAACCTATTCGAAATTTAAATTGTAATGTCATCGCAGTATCGCGCTGTCAGTCGATCAAATGAAGACTAAAGCGGAGTTTGGCGCTCTGTATACGATTTTAGTGCCTTACAAGTGCGGACACTTTTTAGCGCGGACCCGACGTCCATATAGTAAGTCAATGACTTTTGTGCAAATAAAAATATACGCAAAAAAACGAATGAAATACTGAAAGTTCCGAAAAATCTTCCTGACGTGATACAACTCTACCAATTGAATTTGTACTTTATCGAAAACTATTGCTAGCCATTTGTATCGTAAATCACCTATTATAGATTTAAAAGCGACATAAATATCTTAAACTTTGTGCTAGAAAAGTATGTGTGAGTGTGGAGAAATAATAGGGGTTAAAGTATGAAATTGCCGATTTGTACTGAAAATCTAAATTGTTTATTTTTTAAATTTTTAACAAATTTATTTAATCAAAATAGTTGCCATTATTATCTATACATTGCTGCCATCTAATGGGAAGGTTATTAATGCCTTTGCGATAGAACTCCGACGATCTAGACTGCACAAACTGTGTGAAAGCATTTTGTACTGCCTCCTGGGAAGAACACTTCTTGTCACGTAGATAATTGTCCAAATCACGAAAAAAATGGTAGTCCGTTGGAGCAAGGTCTGGTGAATACGGAGGATGACGAATGGTTTCTAACTGCAGTTCCTGAAGGGTCAAAATGGTTTCTCGTGCTGTGTGAGGTCTCGCGTTGTCGTGGAGCAATAATGGTGAAGATCGATTCATGAGTCGGGGCTGTTTTACTGCTAGTTTTGTCAACATGGTTCGGAGTTCGGCACAATAGACATCTGCCGTTATTGCTTGACCAGATCGGAGAAAACTATAGTGAATAACACCATGCTGAGACCACCGAACAGTTACCATTACCTTTTTATTGGTAAGTTTTGCTTTAGGACACTGTTGTGGCATTTGACCTGGGGTCAGCCATTGCATTTTTCTTTTCCGGTTATCATAAAGAATCCACTTTTCATCACATGTTACAATTCGATCCAATATTCCTTCATTTCTGTACCGGTTCAACAAGGCAACACAAGTTTCAACACGCGTTTCTTTCTGCAGATCAGTCAAATCATGAGGCACCCATTTTTCGTATTTTTTTATTTTATTGATTTGACGCAAGTGAGTCAATATTGTGGGTAAGGTAACGTTAAACCATGCCGCTAATTCCTGGGTAGTTTGACTAGGATCGGCTTCCACTATCTCTCTTAATTCATCGTTATTCACCTGTGTGGGCGGTCTTCCTCGTGCCTCGTTCTTTAAGTCGAAATTTCCATCACGAAAGCGTTTAAACCAAAATCGCACGGTGCGTTCATTAGTAGACCCCTCTCCAAACGCAGCATTGATATTGCGGGCTGTTTCTGCCGCGTTAGTTCCGCGTCGGAACTCGTATTCAAAAATCACTCGAATTTTCGCAGTATCCATCTTTCTTGTCTAAATTGAATAACAAAAACAATTGAAAGTCGATATTCAAATGTTTCAAATTTAAAAAAAAAATCACAGAAACCATTTGAAAAAAGTTTCATTCGAAAACCTCAAACCATGAAGATTCTATGAAAATTCAAAGAACCTATTGCAATAAAACGGCAATTTCATACTTTAACCCCAATATTACGATTGACGACTTGTAGTCAATTAAATATAATACTAATATGAGTATATTATAAAGGTATTCTTAAAATGGCATAATTTGATATAAGTGGACGGAGGCGGTTGGAAATGACTAGTGGTGATGGAAATTAATTTGTGGTACATATCATCGAAAAATTCTTCGGCGTTTGTGTAAAATTTTCAAACTGATATCATTATACTTAAAGGTAGACAAAAAATCGTCAAGATGGCGTCTCAATTGAAGCCCGCCCAAGATTCGTCGTCGCGACAGGACGGTGGTAGTTATTGTCATTTTTTTTATTGAGAGTTAAAAGAATAATGTATAACCAATAATATAAATAAATAAAGCTAGTTCCTAAAGTGAGGTAAAAACGTTTTTAGAAGAATATGTATTTTCGGTTAATTAGAAGGTTTCGGAAGTTTAGTATTTTATTCGGAAATACAGTTTCTTTTTTGTAAAAGTGTAATTTGAACCTACACTTGATCGTTTGCTAAAATTGTTTTTTTTAGTCGGTATATTCTGTGTTTATTTTTTAGTAACTCATTTTAACGAGGCTTAGTTAGTATTACAGTTAGCCACAGTTCGCTGCAATTTCATTTGTTTTTCGGAACATTTATTTTTTCCCTTTTCACTGTATGTCATTTGGAATATTTTCGTGATTTATATTACATAAAAATATGTTTTCTTTCAGCTGTTATTATATTGCCTAGAGACCCAATTTGACTTGGTAATCGTGGATCGACCTATGGTGCTACAATCAATTTATCAACTGCACAATACTTTAAGCGATCGTAAAATATTGAGTTGGGAATTTTTTCTAAATAGATTCGAAGCGTTATTCTTAGAGGCACAAATAAATTCAAACAAAACACTGGACTTTGCAAATTTAAGAGGTAAAGTTACATTATGTTGTGAGTAGGCTATCGAGCCCGGGTTTACCCGGTCCGGGAAAACCCGGGGTTTCCCAGTTCTGATGGTTACAAAGAAACCCTGATTTTAAAAACCCGGGCTTTTCGAGTATTTTACTTAATTTTTTTTGTTATTTGTTCTTTATTCATTTATTTATTGGCGCAGCTACAGAATACAAGTTTATATTGTTAATACAAATTAATATTGCTAAATTAAATATAGAACAAATCTGCATTCCACTAACAGCTACAGCTATAGCTTTGTCATATTATTGAACACGGCTAAAAATAATAATAATAATAATACTTTAACAAATACAATACATTATGATTAGAGGTAACTACAATTAATAAATTATAACTTAAGTAATCAATTCAAATTAACCAAACGAAAGTAATGGTCTAAAAATTACTACTGCGTTATCTTAAAATGCGGGATAACTTTGAAAATATATGTCTAAACTCCTGTCCTTGTTCATTTCTTTTTCGACTCGACGCATACGGAATAGAGGATCATTGTAGGTAACGTTATTAGTACAACATGGCACATAAAACATTATTTGTGTACGTTTACTTCCAATCCTCAAAGAGAAGTGGCTCAACAATTCATGCGTCCCATTTAGCATTAACTATTTTATACATGGTGAAAAGATCATTAAACGACACGCCGTGACTGCAGCGTGCAGAGACTAAATTGCTTCAACCTATCCTCATACGTGGGCAACTTACGTCTCATACCAAATTTGGAACTTAAGTGCCGGTGATAATGTCTTTGGACAGCTTCAATTCTATCAATGTTCACCACACCACCGAACAATACGCCAATATACTCCTAATCAAAGTAACATATAGTAACAAAACGCTCTCCGGTTTCTTGAATGGCTTTACAGTTCTAAAAATAAAATTCAGGTGGTTTATTTACTGTGTCAATTACATAATCGTAATGTGAAGTAAAACTTAATTTAGAATCCAGTATAACCCCGAGATCCTTCACTTTTGATTGACGAACCAATGTTACATCATCAACAACATACGAATAGCTTACAGGATTCTTATTTTTTGTAAAAGTAATTAGATGACACTTCTCTATATTCAGTGACATATTGTTGATGATATATCATTTAAGCAGGCGATCAATATTTGTTTGTAATAAAGTGCAGTCAGCAGTACTGAAAATTTCATGGTAGATTTTCAGATTATCGGCGTAAGCGATACAATTAAAGGTAATGGATTCCAAAAGATCGTTAATAAATACGACGAAAAGCAGTGGTCCCAAATTAGATTCTTGAGGAATTCCGTAATTTGACACAAAAGGGACAGAATAAGTGCGATTTGCGAGGTTAAACTTAAACCATCGCAGGAGGTAGCCATGGATTCCGAGATAGAGCATTTTTTGCCAGAGGATCCTTGTCAAATGCCTTCGAAAAGTCTGTGTACAACGAGTCGATCTGCCCCCGTTCATTAAAAGCCTTATTTATGAAATGTACACAAGTTAACAGATTTGTGGATGTGGAGTGTCTCTTGACAAAACCATGCTGTCTTTCAATGACAATGGGCTTAAAGTGGCAATAGAGATGTTTAACTACTAAACTTTCGAATATCTTTCTAAACCAACAAAGAATGCTCACAGGGCGATAATATTTTATACCAGACTTACTTCCGGACTTATGTATTGGGACGAATTTTGTTGTTTTCCAAAGTTCGGGAAATTATCCTGCTATAAGGCTTTTATTAAATAGTACCACCAGCGGCCTTAGCGATACACCAACACAGTTTTTTACCAGTGCAGCTGGTTTACCATCTGCACCTGTGCCTTTTTTTATGTCTAATGTCTCTATTATTTATAAACCACTTCGAATGCAATAATAAATGTAAAGAAGCGTAGTTGCTACCTTTCCTTCCCTACCAAACAACCAAGAAAACAAGCAATGCGTAAAATGTAACGCTCTCTCTCACGCCATTTTCTTTTGTCGCGAAATAATTATTCACATAAAGAGAAGAGTTTTATTAATGTTAAGATAATTTGTGACACTAAAAATATGTTTTTTGAAGATATTATTAGCTTTTGAGAGCAATATCTGATTGATGCCAAAATATTAAAATTAATTTTAAAACTGATCTCTGGAAGTCTGTGATTAAAACACTTTGAAACTGTGTTCCTATATTGATTTTGTACAAATACAGTACAGGAACAGTTTCTTTTTTTTTT